GGAAATTCTGTGCCACAAAAAACGTAGGTGGAATACGGAAGAGCAGTACCTTGACTCGAACAAGGACCTCAGGGATAGGATTTGTGGTGCCGTTGCAAGAAAACCCCACGTGCAGCGTTACACTATACTGCTTTACTGCTCTGTTTCGAACCTCTGGGAGTGCTAGAAATTCAGCAGGATCTTGTGCCAAAAAGGACTCGGAGAGATGGAGAGCAGTACCTTGACTCGAACAAGGGCTTAGGAATATGTTCTGCACTTCCACCCTTAAGCAAATCCTGTGTGCATCATTACACCATACTGCCTTTCCTTGGGCCATTTCGAAGTTGGTGGAGTGCCAGAAACTCTGTGGGATTTCATAAAAAAAAAATTCCTAGATCCCGATCCTACAGAGCAGTACCTTGGTTCGAACAAGGACCTCAAGGATATAGATTATGGATTACTTGCTAAGAAACCCATGGCATCATTACACCATACTGCTTTCCTTCATCCTTTTCGAATGCGGGTGAGTGCTAGAAATTCAGAGGAATTTTTTGCCAAAAGAAAATATCTGAACAAACAGAAGAGTAATACCTTGATTCGAACAAGGACCTCGGGACAAAATATTTATTCAGGGGGTAGGAAAATCCCGTGTGCGGCATTACACCATACTGCTTTCCTTGCCTAGTTTCAAGGTTGGTATTGTGCCAGAGAGTCAGCATAATATAGCCAAAAAGCAACTCACCATCCTGGTCAGACCAGTACCTTGACTCGAACAAGGATCTCGGGAATTACACATGCCACTCGAACACCTCAAGGAAATCCCGTGTGCATTCTTACACCATACTGCTTTATTTGCCCTGTTTCGAGGTGGGTGGAGTGCTGGAGATTCAGAGCAATTATGTGCAAAAAACCTCTCCAGACTGCTCCATAGCAGCACCTTGATTCGAACAAGGACCTTGGGATCAATCACTGTTCTCACTTGAGAAAATCCTGGGTGCATCGTTACACTATACTGCCTTCCTTTATCCTCTTTCAAGGTGGGTGGAGTGCTAGAAGTTTTTGAGGAATGTTTGTTGAAAAGTTGAACAGGAAACGAAGACAGCAACACCTTGATTCGAACAAGGACCTTGGGATCAAGTTTGTGAGAATGCTACAATTTAATCCCATGTGCATCCTTACACCATACTGCTTTATTTATCTTCTTTCGAAGTTGGATGAGTGCTAGAGATTCATAGGAATTTTGTTGAAAATGCTTGTTGCATGATTATAGCAGTACTTTGATTCGAACAAGGACTTCGGTTTGATTTTGCAGTGAAGAATTCCCTGTGTGCATTATTACACCATACCGCTTGCTTTGCCCAGTTTCGAAGTTGGGTGAGTACTAGAGATTTTTATGAATTTTGTGCGAAAAAGAAAATGCGCTGTGAAGGTTGTCAGAGCAGTACCTTGATCCTCGGAAACAGTCAAGCAAATCCCTGTGTGCATCTTTACACCATACTGCCTTCTTTGCCCTCTTTCAAGGTGGTGGAGTGCTAGAAGTTTTGAGGAATGTTTGTTGAAAAGTTGAACAAGAAAAGGAAGACAGCCACTGCGTTCAGACCCCCCGTAGGACAGGTCTGCCAGATCCTGATAGCAGATGTGTAGGCAGACCAGTGTGCTGACCCTTGCCCATCCATCTGCCCATCCCTGGCAGGTTGGTCTAGGTATTCCCACTGGATTAGGCACACATAGACTCACGTGGGCGATGAGCCCAGCTAAGCTAGTTAGCCAAATTCAATATCTGACATGACTTGTACCGTCCAGCCATTCAACCAACACCAACCTAGACCCAGGTCGGCCAAGGTTGACCAAGGTTGGCCAAGATACACACCACTGTCGGTGAAGATCTACCAAGTGGGCAGGCTTTGCCTTGGTAGGGATGCTAGACCAACGTCGGCCGATGCCTATTAGGGTAGACCAACGTCGCTTGGGTGGGCAGTCATAGGCAGGGATCGGTGAAGGTGGGCACATCTGTGCCTATGGGGGGTCTGAATGCAGTGAGCAGCACCTTGATTCGAACAAAGACCTTCGGATCAAGTTTGTGAAAATCCGGCAATTTTATCCATGTGCAACATTACACCATACTGCTTTCTTTGACCAGTTTCGAAGTGGTGTGAGTGCTAGAGATTCATATGAATTTTGTGCGAAAAAGAAATCTGCTGTGATGATTGCTAGAGCAGTACCTTGATTCGAACAAGGACCTCAGGGTTGATCAGGTGAGAAGTGCTAAGGAATCCCATGTGCACCATTACACCACACTGCTTTGCATACACCATTTTGAGGTTGGTGGAATGCGAGACATTTTGAAGCCAAAAGAACGCGAATCAGGGGGTGGAAAAAAGCCTCCGCGGACCGATCGGTTGAAACTGATTGTGGTCACTGGTCGGGACCTTGATCGTTGGGAGCTGGCAAGAAACAGATACCGGAGTCGTCTGCGCAGCAGTCTCGGTGCTTATTCAGAATCGTGGTTGAGACAACAAGACCGGAAAAGGGAGTTGCCGAACAGCGGAGTGGATCGCCGGGAGTGATGACACAACGTCATTTATTCTCGCTGACAAGTCTTTTGTTCGTCATCGCCGCTGCTCACGACGACGCCGACGCTCTAGTCCCATCGCCGCCAACATTCTCTCAGAGGCCCGACTATTGTTCCTTCAGCGACACCGACATCTCCCCCGCCTTGTGGACGTCTCTGCTCTTCCCTCTTCTCTCCATGTCTTCCGGCTCGAGCTCGTGGTCCTCCGCACGGGCCCCAGGCTCAACATCAACAGTGAATAGCGCAACGGGCAGCACCAACACGACCTCACCGCCGTTCTCGCCCCTGCCAGGCCAGGGCGGGCCCCCACAGCCGGGCATTTCAACCCTCACCGACCCTCCTGTCTTTCAACACTCATTCATCTCTGCGAGTCGGGTACATAGGAAGCCAGTGTTGGTAGGCTACTCCTTGAAATAAACATTCAATATACTCTCACGACCAATTCTCCGAATTGGCCACCATCCGGACGCTGTGAAATATGAATGCAGCTCGTTCAGATGTTTGAGCAGCAAGTCCAAAGGACTAATTAAAGGCACGTCATTCAAGTTCTTGGTAATGCGAGACCGGCTTTGTGCGGACATGACAAAATTGGTGAGCGCGCTACCAAATTAAATCCCTTGGTCAAGATCCAGTCACTCGGGGTCGACAATCTGAGAAGCAATACAAAATTACAAATACACGATTACGGACAGGGATGTTCAGACGTTGCCGCATTTAGTCGGATTGGATTCCGAGTCCAATCCGAGTCATCCTCCGAGTCCAGACACTGATGTGCCTTTTATCCCGCTTATTCTATTTTCGGTGGGCTCGCTTCAGCCTTCAAGTTTTCGGGTTCTCTCCGCGGATTTTGTTAGTCCTTTCTTTTCTCCTCCACTGGTGAGTGTGATAGCCTGGTTTCCCGGGCAACTATAATCATTCAAGCCACAACCTTTCCAATGCACGCATTACTCAGCTGCAGCGCTGCGCATCAGTTTTCTCGAACGAGAACAACAGTCAAACAATAGTACCGATCAATGTTGGTGCCGCTGTTGCGTTAATGTTGGCGATTTCTCCAATCAGATTCTTCCGATGGGACAGCCCTGGATTTCCCAAGCATTTTCAGCACCTACTTTTGACATAAAAAAACATCATTTAAAATGGAACGGCGGCCAAGCTACGACTGGAACGAACCACAATATGTCAACAGCAACCACCTGTCAAAGCTTCAACAGAAGAAACCCGGGGACGGAGATGGAATTCATCAAGCGCTCAGCGCTTGGGCGTCTGACTGAGCAACAAGGGAGATTGATCCGACGTCAAGGTTAAACGCCGCCATCTTCTTGCTTCCCACCATGACTTCGCCACGATTCCACCATCGATCCATCGCCCTCAGGCTTGCGGTTGGATCTTTCGAGGCTAGCGCTTACGAAGTCTCGGATCCATAACATATCGCGATGTTGTGACCACCTACCTCCCCTTTGGTACTCGAACATTATAATTCCTGCTCAATCCATGCCTGAAACTTTAAACTGCCAATCTCGGCTCGTTTCTTTTGCTATGCCGGTCACACTAGCCGGGGACTGAGCCAGAGGACGGCAGTGATCGTCTGTACCATATGCCTGCCCAGCATGTTAATATCACTACCTTGCATTGCCGATCTCAGGTGGGGGACCGCCTTTCACACCGAGATTACCGAAATTTCGGCCGGCTTTGATCAAATTAGATTCAAACTGTGGTCCGAAACCTGAAAAATCAGTTTGCACGAAACTCGAGCTGAAATGTCGTCACCATCCAATGGGATCCCATCGATAACGATCGATAAGCCGAAACGTGGCATTTCAGCGTACATTTTATTTGTTGAGTTTTCGGACCACATTTTGAATCTAACAGTTAACTTGAAGTTGGCCGAAATTTCGGTACCGTGTGTTTGGTGAATTTGGGATTTATAAAGATAGATTCTTGTCTTTTGGCAGCAAATGATCGCTGGGCTCGGCGCTTGTAGGCTGTGCCTGTCAAGGCTCTCACACTGCTCTCTTCCACCTTCCCCATGCCACCCTTGAATACGCAACATACACCCCCCAGTGAACATTACTGGTGGTGGGACAGCACCACTGAACTTTGGGCTCCAACGACCAACCTTCTCCTTACGGCTCCGTTACCGTTCACGACGGTCACGTACTGCGTTCAGGCTTTGGCCTTACTCTGGGGTCACGACGGCACCCCACTTTCTAGCATAACTGTGAACGCTTACTCAACCCTTCTCTCGTATGTGTGACTGGCTTATTTGAACATGTGCCGAGAAATCCCGCAGGAATGAATACACATCACCTTTCGTGAAGGCCGAGATTTTGACGGATTTGAAGAAGAGAGCAGTATCCCAGTGAAGAAGATGTGCGGGAAATAGTAAACAATTCAATTCTGATGTTCCGGGTTGCGGAACTAGTTCGGTCCGGAGATATGCGTCTACAGCAGCCAGCATGCGAGCTACTGGGACACTTAGGCCCCTCCGCTATGCCGGTTATCTTGGATTCATGTGTGCAGCTTGCGTCTTTTCTGCGGCAAGTACCTTAGTCTTCATCTTTGTGACCCGATTTCAGTCTCGGAAATCAGGGACGAAAATCCGACATTCGTTGTGCCTGCATTACTGGCATTATCTTGGGTCGTCGGCGGGATTGATGGCGCAAAGGCGGCCGTTGATGCCAAGGTTCCCGACTACCTTGTGGAGCTCCTTCAATCACCAAGTAGTGGGTTCGGAACTGGTCTTGCCAACTA